TATTCTTCGTACTCACGTGTTAGCAGTAAGTTAATATCAATAAAATAATTAAACAGTAATTATTTATAAACCTGAATATGATTTATAGTCCAATAAAGACTTTTCAATACTTATAAAAGGAATAAATTATCCTGAATACTTGAATTAATATGAATTCTTCGTACTCACGTGTTAACATAAACCCGAATATAATTTATTTTAAATACTTCACAGTCTAAAATAAATTAAATAATAGATATTTACAAATAGTTTATTTTGAATCCTTTGATTAATAATGAACTGCTTGGCTTAAGATCTATAACAACAATATAATCACCATAATTGTTTCTTGACACTCTCGAACAATTCAAAGAACAAAAGATTTTCGTAATCAATTTCATAATAATTTTTCAATACTTGGATAAATTTGTTTGAATCATGAATAACTTTAAAAGCAACATATCTCAATATACTATTAATTGTATCGAATCAACGTACTGAATATACAGTTGTAACTTCTCCTTTTTCCAGTTCTTAGAAATTTGTGAACTCATAATCAGTCCAATATAATTTAAATCTCTCATCATCTAATATTCTCTGCAGAATTTTTATAGAAATAGGGAAATATATTGGATATTGGAAATATTCAAATAAAAGGTTTTATAAGGTAATACGTAGATAACTTAGATTATTTATATACTGTATTTAGAATAAGCTATTGATAACGATAATAATTTATTAGCAAATAGAAGATCCTATATATTGCATTATTGTTATATGCAAATTTTATTTTTTTTTTTTTTTTTTTTTTTTTTAATATTTAATTTGAACAATTATACGTAGCATAGCACAGCATAGCAAAATTTATAATATCGGTATTAATATCTAGTTGAGCCACCATCAACATCATCACATGCTTCTACCCGACGGGGCATACTATTAATCACTCTGCGATAATATGAAGGCGGAATTGAATACCAAGCAGCTTTAACTTTTTCTTCCAGGTCTTGAATACTTGTAGGGTTGTCTGGAAAATTACGCAAACATCTTTCAACCTCTTGCCACATATTTTCGATTGGATTCATATCTGGGCTTTGAGCAGGCCATGGTAATACAGGAATATTAGCATTTCTAAAAACATTTTTAACTTTAGAACATGTGTGAGCAGGTGCGTTATCTTGTTGAAAGATGCCTTGCCCATCAGGAACCAATTGACATACAACAGGAATTGCATGCCTTCTTAAAAGCTTAACATAAGCTTCACCATTCATTCTACCACGGATAGGAATTATTGGTCCTAGCCCATGCCATGAAAAACATCCCCAAAACATATGACTAGGACTGTGTTTTATAGTAGGAACAAGACATGATTCATCAAACTCTTCAGTCGAGGTACGCCAAACCCGTGTATTGTAATTTTGAGAAAACTGTTTGAAAACCGATTCATCTGACCAGACCACATTTCGCCATTGATGAGTTGACCAGTTTAGATGATCTTTTGCCCAGGCTTGCCGTTTTACCTTATTGTTTGCAGAAATTAATGGCTTGTGACGTGCAACACAAGAGCGAAGACCACATTTTCTTAAAGCGCGACGGAGTGTTGAAATGGAAACCTTCTGATTTTTTTCTCTTTGCCATAAAGCTTGAATTTCATGAATAGTTAGACGATGATGCATAGCATCTCGTATAACAATTTGGTTGAGTTCTTCCAATGCAGCTTCATCGAAGATAGGTTTTGGACCTGGACGTTTTTTTGGTACCGTAAAACCTGTTTCAGTATACCATTTTAGAGTATCATGCACAGTAGTTTTACTGCACTTGATATTTTTAGCAATAGTTGATAATGCATCTTTACGCCCATGATCATAAAGAATTCCTCCATGCTGAAAGTTAGATAATTTCTTTTTTTTTGCCATTACAAGGTGATAGAAAATAATAATCAAAATTTCTAATTCTTTTTATAATAGTTTTCTTGAATTCATATCATCATAAATATGAAATTATTATGTCATGGTAAGTCAAAACTCTATTAGACTACTATGATTTATTAGACTTCGCTACGATGAGCTAATTTCTATAAAAATCTAACAAAAATTATAGTAGCTAAAATGACTAATAAATTCATTTAATAGACTTCAGAATTATTTGTATCACTTATAGTTTTTAATTAATTTACTGGAGATGCAGACATTTTTAGGTCAAGGGTAACTACCCACTTATGTCATATAAAATTTGGCAGTTACGGCTATGCTATATGTTATTTCATGTGCATCTGTACCGTGTAATCTTGAAAAACAGATTTCCGAAAGAACATAATACTAACAAAGTTAGCTGGCATTGGTTATAATGCTAGCTAATTTAGTTAGTATTATATTCTTTTGTAATAAAACTATTTAATTAATGGAATGTCTGTAAATAAAGTAATCATATTCGAGTTTATTTATTTATTAATATTAATTTAGCACGTGAGTAGATCAAATATTTTTCAATTCAAGTATTTAGAATAAATTATTCATGAGTGTTTACTATTTAATTTCATTTAGACTTTATCTCTAAAGTAGCCTTTACTTATCTAAGTATCAAAAATAAATTATATTCGGGTTATAAATAATTACTATTTAATATTATACATAAGTATTAATTTAACACGTGAGTAAAATGAATCTTTATTAATACAAATATTTAAAATAAATAATTACTGTATTATGAATGTTTATTTTTTAATTTAATTTTGTATGTAATTATAAAGAAGCCTCTATTAACCTAAGCATTTAAATAAATTACATCTTAGTTTATAAATAATTACTATTTAATATTATTCTATTAGCATTAATTTAACACGTGAGTAAATAAGTATTTAATAATCCAAGAATTTAAAGTAAATTATTCATTTAACTCTAAATAAGCCTTTATTAACCTAAGCATTTAAAATAAATTACATTTGGGTTTATGAATAATTACGATTTTATTAGCATTGATTTAATGCGTGAGTAGAAAGAATATTTATTAATCTAAAAATTTACAATAGATTATTCATAAATATTTACTTTTTAATTTAATTTTTGATATAAACATAAGAAATTCTTTATTAATCTACTGTAAATATTTACAATAAGTTATATTCGGGTTTATAAATAATTACTGTTTAATTATTTTATTGATATTAACTTACTGCTAACACGTGAGTACGAAGAATG